TTCTCCGGAACTTTCTCCAGAACCGTGTTGAACCTGACCTGGCTCGCAACAAAGCCTCCTAGACCTTCTCCGCAACCTTCTCCGGAACCTTCTCCGGAACCCTGTTGAACCTGACCTTGCTCTGCACCAAAGCCTCCCAGACCTTCTCCGGAACCTTCGGAACTTTCTCCGGAACCTCGTTGAACCTGACCCGGCGCCTGCACCAGTGCACACCGGAGCTATTCTGGGCTGACGACCCCATTAGCTTACGCTGTTGGGGGAAAAGAAGTGTTGGACATGTTTATATACGCACATCCTCGGTAGCTGGGATCCAAAACATGCTGTAACAACACATTGACCTCAACATACTTAAACCATCTTAAACCTTCTTGATCTGGGTAAATGATCAATTGCTGATTCTGGGTGTTCCCTCGCCGACAAATGTACAAGCGGCGATGAGCTCTTCCTTCTCATGTGGTGGACTCAAATAGCTCCTGGGGCGGCTGCAGCATCTGTGTCACAAGACTCATCGGCACAGCTATTGGAAGATTTTGGAAGGCAGGAATGTGTTGAAGCACAAGCAGCACAAGCAGCACAAGCAGCACAAGCAGCACAAGCCGCACAAGCAGCACAAGCAGCACAAGCAGCACAAGCGCAGCGCAACCCTTTCCCCACCACTCCAAGCACCATCCGACATCTGCCAAGTAGCCCGCTTTCGGGGTAGCTCAGCGTTTGCAGCCCATCTCTCCGGAAGCTAAATCCCAATGCCTGATGTTCGACTTCCATGGTCCGACAGATCACAGACTGGATACCCAAACGAACAAATGAAAGGTAACTAGATTCTAACTAGATGTAACTAGTACTTCTCATGTGACCTGTAGAGAGTGCAGACTCTGGGACATCGCACAGCTGAAGTATTGCAGACAGGATTCCAAGAGCCAGGACTAGCGGTGCAATGCTAGATGGCAACACAGACCCATTCGTGATGCTTAGCTACCATCGTTAGTCGCACACCCATGGGTGGCTCAACCTGAACATGTCAGCCCTGCCATCCAACCGTCGAGCAAACTTCCATTTTCCATCAAGATACTCCTTTCAGGAGCAACACGCTCCACCATCTCATTGCAGGAGCCTCATTGAGGCAAGGTGAGATGGAGAAAGGCGATCCGTTTTCTGTCAGCGATCCAAGGGTTTCAGCACATGTTAACGCAGGTGAGGTCGCGTTTCAATAGCTGACCCGGTCAATTCTCACCAAATACGCACCTGTATATCAATGGAAGGTCTTTCCGTTTCTGCTGCTCCGTTTGGGTCTCGAAGATTTGGAACCACAGCGTGATGTACAATTGGACAGTACATACCAACCCACAGATCCAGTTCGAGAAAACACGGTTGCAGGAAGAATCTTCAGACAATCATATACAATGTACAGAGCAACTCTCTTTCCCGTCTTAATCATTGGTCAAGACACATGTGGATAGTACAGTTCCAGATTAGGTGTATACAATCAGAGCGTGTGGCCTTGAGCCAGAATCTTGCCAGGTTGAGCACCCATACCAGAGGGTTTCAGTGCTGAACACACTAAACACACTAGACCTTGTGCAGTGTTGTGCAGTGCAGGATATCGTTTTCAGATGTTTTCAGCGTGGAACCCCATGTTTGCACAAGAGGCCATGATGCCATGACGCTTCAAAAGAAACAATGACACATCAAAAGTGGATTCTCATCTGCTTGCAAGGCCAGCCTGCAGCCCCTGTGACGCCCATTTTTCACTCTCACAGTCTCACTGTGCTGGAGCTGCTGGCGTCACAAGAAGGCATCACCTGTGCCACCAGAAATTCCCAAGTTACAAAATGCCAATCGTATGCCATGCTTCTCCTCTTCCTTCGTGGTGAAGTTTTCAGAAGCTGAATCCAAAAAGGAAGTGTGACACGAAGCTGAGGGACTATTGAAATCACTGCATTGAGCAGTGTTCGTCTGAAGGTCTTGGAAAAGCTAGTTAAATGATGTTAAATGATGTTAAATGATGTTAAAACTTAACATTCGAATCATCATCCCCAAACGATCCAAAACAACTCGTCTGTGCCACGGATGAACGTCCTGCCTTTCCGTCTGGCCTGGAGCAGAAGCTTTCGAGAAGGCACCGTCAACTCCGTTTCTGTTCGGTGGATCCAGTAAACTGGATACAACTGGTCTGAGCCAGTCCGAATAGGTGATTTAATGGACGATGCATTCTAGAATTGCTGGATGTCTGCAGTCTGTTCAGCACACAAAGTCCTACACCAATTCTCGCAGCCTCTGCCACATCACGCCCAGGCCTGAGAATCGCAACGAAAACTTAGTATTGACAAGTCAGTTGTCAGAGACTTGACAAATTCCACTCCCTTCCACTGCCCGGCTGCTCCGGCTGCCCCGGCTGCAACAGCATCGCCATCGACAACGAAGCCGGACATAATCCTGGCGGAGCATTGGGAGACCGAGAGATGGAACGAGCCAAAAACGAAAAGGAGAAGATGAGATGGAAAAATCATGAAAAATGAGGAAAATTTAGGAAAAATGGGAAATGTGGAAAATGTAGAAAATGTGGGGTGTGAACAGCACATCGCAAGTACACGTTGACAACATTGACAGGAAGTGGAGTTGTGTAGTATGAACAGCATGCATTCTATAACAGCCACTTCCCACGAATATGTTGGAGATCTCCTGCTGATGAAGCCCGAATCATGGTCTTCACCTGGTCGGTCAATCCTGACACGGTGTCACTGTTGCAGTCACAACAGAGCACCGAGAGCTTCATAAATTGCTTGTTCTTCTGGACTGGATCCAAGAGAAAACAGCATGGAACAGCATGACGTCCACTGCTAACACGTGAAAGCAATCAAAGGCCGAGTATCTGATCAAATCTTTCGCACCGGTGACCATCTCCTTCCTCAGCACAATAGCGAGATCACGCGAGATCTGTCGTGACATCTCCCCATTCTTCCCATCTCATATATAGTCCAAGCATGTCCAAGCAGTAACATATCCTATCAAGGAAAGTTGTACATTCCAATGAATTGCAAACAGTCTCCAAAGATTGATGGAATCAGTCTAGCCTGTCACAACATGCTGAGTACAGACCATCTTACAGCAGCAAGTTCAGGTCAGGCGTCTTTGCCATATTCTCTGCTCTGTGAAGGTTGCTGACCACCTGTGCTGTCGCATCAACAAGCCTCTAATCCATTTTGACCCGTTGTAGAAACTTGAGGCCGGGGGTGGATGACGAAAGCTAGCGGGGTAGGAGAAAGAAGGAAGGGAAGAGGTGAGTTGCGGAGGGACTGTCATCATCGTGTCGCGGCATTGTTCGTCCCAACGAGGATGCAACAATGATATATGATATATGATATATAACAATGATATATGTGGGGGAGGGGGCAGGGGGGGTCCCTTTCGCGTGAAAAATCACGTGATGTCCTTGGGGAGCCTCGGAATACTTTCTAAAGCAAGAAGACTCTAGCGAGCTGACGCTAGCTTTCGTGATAATGCCAATAATTGCCAATAATGATAAAATGTAATTGAATAACGATGATGATGATGATGATGATGATGGTGATGGTGATGGTGATGATGATGATGATGATGAATGATGAATGGTGAATGATGAATGGTGAATGATGAATGATGAATGATGCATGATGAATGATGAATGATGAATGATGAATGATGAATGATGATGATGATGATGACGATGACGATGACGATGACGATGACGATGACGATGACGATGACGATGACGATGATGATGATGAGGAGGAGGAGGAGGACGATGGCGAGGACGATGATGATGACGATGATGATGACGATGATGATGATTATGATGATGATGATGATGAGGAGGAGGAGGACGATGGCGAGGACGATGATGATGACGATGATGATGACGATGATGATGATTATGATGATGATGATGATGATGGTGGTGGTGGTGATGGTGGTGGTGGTGGGGTCCCCCCCTTTCGCGTGAAAAATCACGTGATGTCCTTGAGCAGCCCCCGGAATACTTGCTAAAGCAAGAAGACTCCAGCTAGCTGACGCTAGCTTTCGTGACATCTTCCAAACTCAAACAAAAATCACTACGATTTCCCTGGCATGCATCGTTCTGTCGTTGCAAGAAGCTACTTTGGAATGCGCTACATTGATCTACATGGTACATTGTGGTACTGACACGGCCTCTGTTCAAGCATGGGCTCTTGCCAGCAAGGTGCAGAGCAGAATTCTGAGGGTCCCAACAGTGCCGGAGAACTCCGAGATTTCATCTGGCAGACGGTTGCCTTTGTACTCGAACTGCCTCAGGACGCCAAACTCACATCAAACAGAGTGCAAATGAAACAAGACCGAACTCCCATTGCCTTCTGCAAGCGGGTCTTAATATGTTTTGACATCTGCCACGATCTCCCACTGACATTCCCGATCCACCCAGCGCGGCACCTGTGCATGAGATCGTTGAACGACATTGCTTCGTTCAAAGATTCGTGCAAACGCTCTGTGATGTTCGTTACCTGCACCAGATTACAGAATTTGGGGTTGACCCTGGACTGAGTGTCAGGATGGTGATCAAACCAAAAGATCGCAAGGAAAAATCAAAAGAACGGATCTCAAGAGATGTGTTTGTCGGCGAGGCCAAATTCCGCTGTAGATTCCCTAGGTCAGGCTGCCCCTGTGCGCACCAATTCCTGAATCACGCTGGCGTCTTTGGTCAGCTGATCCTCAGCAAAATTCCATCTGACTTGCCACATCCAAGCCCCGCCCATCAGCAGTCCACTGAGCCCTGCTGCCCTGCTTTCGCCAAGTATCCAAGCCCCCTTCGACGTCCTTCTCACGCCCAGGGATTTGGCATTTCAGCCTGAGGGGTGAGTACTTCGATGCGATGATCACATGCAACACAGCCGCTGTGACACAGCCGTACTTCAAAATCTTTAAATACCTTCCACAGCCAAAGTAATTTACCCATCTTCCACGGAATCTTCCGCTGAATCTTCCATCTTCCACCTGTCCAAAGAAAACAGCACTGTTGGCTGAGCATCCTGACTTGCCCAGTGCCTTTGGCACCACGGCCTGGGTGGTTGTAATCCTGCAGCCATGGGCTGGGTGAGTCAAGGATATCATCAACTCCCCTGGCACCATCTGGCACCATCTGGCACCATCTGGCACCTATCATCGATGCCCCGCAGATGTTTGGCGTGCTCGTTCAGCTCCTGCGCCGGCGTGAGCTCACAACGATCCCGACATTTCCATCAAGTTCTATCTATGAACAAGGAGGTGAGGGGTAAAGTGGTTCAGAAACCATACCTTTAAACGTGGTTTCAAAGCTTGCTTTGTAATTGTATGTAATTGTACACCATTCATTGACCATTCATGGTCACACTAAGGTTTTAACGATCCAACAAGAGCTTCCAACATGCGTCGCAGAAGCTGAGCCGTCTCCTGCACAAGCCCTGGCAAAGTCTCTTCCTGGCGCAGCCGAATGTCCCCTCAAGTGAAAGGATTGCATGCGTCACTGCTGTGCGTTCGAGCCAACTCTACATGTTACCAATTTTGAGATTCGAGATATCAAATAATCATCCGAGCAGAAGATATATGGCTCACCTGAACCATTAGTTTTCTGGGATCGTAGAGACATCTTAGTGCAGGGGCCCGGCCCTTGCATATGGAACCACACCTGGCCTTTTCTGTGAAGCAAACACTTTGGAGATATGTTATACAAATATAGTGGTTTATCATATATGACTGTATATATACATATATACACATATCAATATTATATACAGTATTAATGTGATATTAATATGTACAAATATGTGCGTGTATAATATATATATATATATTGTGTACATATTATGTAACATACACCAGCACCAGCGAAATGGTGTGGTCTCCATAGTCCATGAAATCATGCCTCCATGAAGGAACTGTGGAGCTTTCTGCCACTGTGGCCTGGCAATCGAAGGACATCAGAATCTCTCGTAATGACACTATCTACTAGCAGTACAGTACACATCTACATCATCTTATATAACATTATATATACATACATATAATATAATATACATATATATATATATCGTATTTACATTCTATTCAATGTACGATGTAGTTACGATGTAATTTGATGTAATCACAATTCAATGCTTACGTATGGTTGTCCCCTATGTTGTCTTGATGCCATGTACTTGTAAGTTTAGCAGACAGAGAAAATATGATGAGTCCCGAACCTGGTATCCGTCATTTCCCATATCCCTAACTCAGTCTGTTTCTGGCCTGGCAGCGGCAGCGTCCAAGGCTGCATGACATCCAAGACTACCATGGCGATGGGTGGGTCACCCCTTGAAGGTATCGCTGGGATCTGGGATCATCGGATGATCGGACGATCACATTGCCAGGTGTAGCACTATGTTTGCCGGGCCATGGCATGTGCTTTATTCAGGTGGAAATGCGAGATATTGCGAGATGGTGAAGCTTTGCACAACTCCATGTTTTTCCACGCTTTTTGTGCAGACCCTTGGCAGCCTTGGCAAAATATATTCTGGCAGAGTCCTGATCTTGCGAAGGAAAATGAAATCATCCACTTTACACTTGGAGGGTATCCTTCTGGCTTGAACCCCTGAGGGATGTAAATATGGTACATCCAGGCAATGACAGCCTCATTGGCGACCTAGCCTTGGAGCACAGCTTTATTTGACTGACCGAAAAGTGGATGCCAGAAAACTTGACAAGCTTTAGTGGCTCTCATCCCATGCTTGAGATTTATCGCAGTCATACCCGTCATACTGATGCAGCGGCAAACAATGGCGCACGCGAAGGTGCCCCAGATTTTGCAACAATTTCTTTGGTTGCACTCAGACTCAGCACGAGAATTAATCCACCAGTCCGAACAGCCTCAGTCGAAGCAGGCCACATGCTTGTCGTCTCCCTGTCCAAGGAACCTTTCAAAGTTCTTGTTTCAAATGGATGACTGACACGCTCAAACCTTGGCTCGTAAGGTCTTGGCACTTCGTCATCCACAATCTCCTTGGAATGTCAAAGGAACAAAAATGAGATTGGCAATGATTGGCTCATGTTTTTAATGACAGCACGAACCCAAGTGGTTTTCCCTTGCACCATTGGGGTGGAGAAGCGCCCGAGTCTGTCACAATGTTCCTGATCTCAAAGGATGGGACAGTTCTGGAATGTATTTACTGAAGATCCTCAAGATAGCTACAAAGAATGCAGACTTGCGAAGCTACAACCCCCACCCGCCTGAAGCTCTTACAGTCTTACGATCAAACCAACTCCAGGCTACTACCCCCACCCATCCCCAATCACACGCGCCCAGATTCGAAGTCCAAAGGGTTCTTGGGAATTTCAATCACCTGACAAATGTCACGAGTCTCCATCAGGTTCTACAAGTGTGTTTATCATTCAGTTGGCAAGTTTCAAGTGTCCTTTTCTCTTGCGGGAACTTAATCAAAGTGTGAAGGTTGCAGCCTCGAGACTCCTACTTGCTACTAGATGTAATTGTCATTCCTTTGTGGTGAAACCAGTGGCACCGGACCGCGCCTTGTGAGCCTTCAAACCAAAGGCCTCCTCTGGGCGATGTCCATCCAAAGCTTTCTGCACTGCCAGGCGGATGGCTTGATCCTTGGTCACTGACTGACACCACACGTGAAAACATTTTGTTTTTCGATGTCTTTTGATGTCGTTTGATCCTTTTGCGATCTTTATGTCCAACACACCTGGTGTCAAAAGCCCAAAATACTCAGCCGTCAAACCCCGCTAAACCCCCCCAAACGCCCTCCGCTCCTGCGCGGTATCTTGTTCACGCTGAACTTCCTACTCTCGCCGCCATGGGGGCCATGGGGTCATGAGGCCATGGGGGGTGATCCTGTTGATACCTTAAGTTCTGTGAATACTGCGCTAGGCAATTGTCAATCATCTGGTCACGTGGAAAATAATACCGAAGTTGACATGCCTTCAACAGGAAAGTCTTGTGCAAAGCAAACGAACCCAATATGCCAATGAAGAGTCCTTCCGTGGAGATTGGGCTGTCTTTAACAGTCACAGTCATGTTGTAAAGCGATACACTGAGGAGCCTTGACTTGGTTAGTCACCTGTCAACAGCTTGTCAACCTAGTGTATTGGCTGTGTCTGTGTCTCTCCAAGCTTGGCTGCGTCGAACCCCTCTTCTCCCCGGCCAGTCCTCCTCACTGCGCCAGCCGAAGAGCCTTGGGAAGCCATGCCCTTCTGACGGTTCTGACGATCCCATCAGAGCTCTATAAATTATATATGTCATTGAGTCATTAATGCACGGATCATACATTCCCATTTCGATAAACTTGAACTTGAGGCCAGACCTGCATACGCAAGCAAGGCGATTGCACGTCCCAGTGGAAGAACGACTTCTTCTATTACGAGAACCATCTGGTTTCCACGGAATCTGAAGGTCTCTTCCATCGAAAAAGTCTGAAAAAGGAAAACATGGGCCTGCCTGCTTAGCTCTTCCAACTCCGCACCAAACGAGGTCGCCAACGGAAGCTTTGCCAGGCTCGACCTGATCAGGGAGGGGGGGTGGGGAGCTGTGGTGTTGTCACATGAAGCGGTTTTCGCAGTGTCTGCACGTGGACAATCGTCTTAAGGTTTGCAACCTCAGTCCCACCAGACCCAAAAATTGTTCAAGCTTTTGAAACAGGTAGAAAGTTGGAAGGAGAAGGCAACAGTCACAATCTATTTGAACGAAAAGGCACTGGCAAAAGTCAAGAAAGTTTGGGCGTCGCCCGCTGGGGACACAATCTCAACTCTTCTTGCACGAAACAGATTCGAGAAGCAAAATTGCCACAAGGGAGGTAAGTACGAACGAAACGGAAGCAGCAACAGGCAATAGGCGAGAGCAGTTTTGGAAGACTTGTGCAATGCTTCCAAGTCAGGCAACTCAGAAATATATGCGAAATCAGATTTCTTGGGCTGAGTATCCACTAGCCACTTGCCACAGGAAGAAAACATCGCTACAGGTCAGGAGGCCAGAGAAAGTTCTTCCGCCCTAAAGGCAGCTAAAGAATAAAGAAAAGCCAAGCAAGGGCGCAAGGGTTCCAGCCCAAGCTACGAACTGACAAGACCGGCAAATGCGCTTGTGAGGCAAAAAAACTAAAGGATCCCTCCAACTCGTAACGGCCCAAAAGAAATAAGCACAGGAACTTCAATGGAGTTGATTTCAAAGTTGGACGAACCTGCTTTTGGCCCTGGATCTGGCTATGCTCGTCCACTGCCTGGCCTCTCTTCTTCGCTTCTTGCAGCTCTTAGCAAGCACTGTCGCCGGTCGCCACTCAGACACCTGGGCACACGTGAGACCAAACCTCTCAATCACCTCAGCAGGCTGGATCCTTTGAAGCTCATGGCAGCAACCGTCTTCAACCTTGAGCCATTCAGAGAATCCGGGCGCGTAAGTACGGCTCATAGATACCGAATACCCTTTGACAATCTGTGCACCAGCTGAAACCCTGAGCCCTTCAGGGCCTCAACTTTGTGGGGCAGAAGAGCCGCTGGAAGGGCTCAGAACTTCGCAAGCTTTCTTCGCCGCAAATGAACCAAACGCTCACTGCCAGGCGGTCCTGGCGGCTCAGGGCGCAGTTAGCAAAAATCATATTCAGCAAATATCAGCAAATGTTGCACAAGGCTTCTGAGATCTTCTGAGCTGCTATACAACTCGTCGAAGGTTGGAGTGAGTCTCCAGCGAGGGGTCCCACCTGTTTTTCCCACCCTTGGGCACCTTGTAGCTTGCAAGTACCTCATGTGGTACTTCTTGTGTGGACCAGAAAAGCACCTCGTGTCAGGACAGAAACCAGAAAACCACCAGAAAGATGCGCTCATAAAAAAAAGACAACTGCAATTTTCACGGAAGATTCATCCCCATCAAAATCTATACGCAAAGTTTCAATGAGCTTTGCGTCTGACAACTGTATCTTGGATGGAACAACCTTATGCTGTGTGCTGCAGCTGCCAGGGCCACCAACCAAGCGATTCCACAGCGGTTCCACATCGCGCTTCACCTCTGGACAAGGCACTGCAGAGCTGGTCTCATGTCGCGGAGTTGAGGATGTTGAGGATGTTGAGGATTTGTTTTGAATTCTGGTCCCGAATTGGAGGGAACCATAGGGAACCTATGATATCAAAAAGAGGAGGAGAATCCGTTTGGAAATCAGTGCCATGGGTTGTAGATTCCGTTTCTCTGTTGAGTTGCAGCAAACGCACCTGACAGCTCTGCATGGTCGGCTCAAAAATCCGCAGGCAGCCGCCATCTTTCTCAGTCCTACATTGCCGCCCAGAATACAGCCATAGCATGCCATAGCTGATTCTTTTCTTGAAACTGTGTTTCCTTGTAAAGCGACTTGCTGTTGAAACAATGGGAGAGAATGCTCCAATATGATGTTTCAACTTCCTTACTGATCCTTACTGATCCTTGCTGATCCTCACGATTTTTTTGCATCATGTCACGTGATCGTCGGTTCCCCCTTCCGCGCTCCAGTGGCGATTCAAATACAGCACCGCTGTCAGGCGTCGGCCATCTGTGCGCAGCGTGTTGTCCACATGCTTGATATATCTGGAAGCACCTCCCGGATATATGGCAAACCTCAGCCACTTGCATGGAACCATATGTTGGGCACAAATCCAAAAGCGAGCGCCCATCAGCTGAATTATGCTAGTAAAATCTAGTAGAGAGCAGAATTAAATAATATTAAATATAAATAAAATATAAATAAAATATGATATGTATTAATAAATATCATTGAATGTCCTTTCTCACCCATTTCACCAGTTCCATCGGCCAAGCAGCATAGCACCATTGGCCCAGTCCACGCAACGCAGCTTGGGCGCGGTGTCCTCGCAGGACTTGAGGCCATCCACCAGGGCGTCCAAGTCGCGCAGGAAGTCTGTCCAAGTCATCGGGGGAATGATGGGGAAATATGGGGAATGTATTGAATGTACTCAATGCATCCCCAATCTATGGCAGGATGAAGCGAATGTATGGCATATTTAAATTTATGGCAGGGGAGGTTCATGGAGATTAGAAACCACCACTTTATGGCAATTTACAAGGATTTTTTCGGATTAAAATGAGAAATTGATGATCAACCATGGGATGGAAGGGGTACCCCATTCTTGGACAAACCCAATTGGCTGTCCCAGTGCTTGGTTCGATTTTGCAAACTGTTGAGTCACGCTGCAGCTGGCTGCCTTGACAGTCTTTAGAAGCTACTCTTCGTGCGCGCAGGACATTAAGACCCACATCTCCCAAGTAACCATTTGGCTTTCAAAGAGAAAATGCCCTTTAAAACATCAGTGCTCATCTGTCTGCTTTCTGGGTCTTGTTAATTTTTTCAATGGAATGGCATTCAATGCTGGTTCTCGAAGCTGCACATAAGAGGCTTTTTATTCAAGTGGCACTACTACTTTTCTGTCTATGTCTGGCACAAAAGGCCCCGCCCCGGTTCAGTGTGATGGATTCATGGTGGCACCTTGACATCCGGGCATTTGGCCATCATCGGAAAACTTCACCACATCCCCTCCTTAGCTGAACAGGAGAATGGAATGCGCGTGGTGCACAGGCCCTCCGCATCTGATCTGCTCATGTCCGTTGCAAAAAAACTGAAGCAAGCTGGTTTAAATCAAGTCGTTGCATGTGCAGCATATGCTAGGCACCTGAGTTGGAATTTGTGCCTATGATATTGTGCCCAAGGTCCCTTCATATTACCTGTCATCCTGTGTCCAAACTTAGCCCCGGATGACCAGCCCCTGCACCAAGCATCGGCTGGGTTGATTCAGCACCTGCTGAGCGGCACATTTGGTGCAATTTGTATCAGAAAAATGCATCCGAGACTCTACTAGACCAAATGCAAATATGAATGTGTAAACATGTGTAAAGCATCACTGACACTCTGCACAACTTGAATCCCGATATCAACCTGTTCCATGTAAAAAATGTCGCTGGTGAAACTCCAAAGTCCCGCAGCACCTTCGCCAAGTCAGTCCCTCCCTGCACTTTGGCAGCAGCACCGGTTGCGCCCCGCACCATCTCCGGCTTGGCGTGGCGAGCGCCATCTTCCAATTCCTGACCAACGACTGTCGATGTCCCAGCTCTCCGGAGAATCAAATACATGTAGTACTCAAGATGATTCAAGATCATCCATGTCTGCCTGTTGAACAAAATGTATAAACGGTACGCAAGTTCTGGACTGACCACAGATGTCGCAATGGATCATCCAGCCTGGCACACCTCCTCAGGCAGAAAGCCATCCAGAACAGCGAAGTGCTCCATCTTCAGTGCTCGTGCAACGAGCCGCAGATTTTCCCGTGAGGACCACCATCGCTGACCAGTGCCCTGGCGCTGTTGGAATGCTGAAGAGGTCTGAAGAGGGGTTGATTTTGGATTTGTTTACTCAGTTTACTCATGGCTCTTTGACAGAGGCTTTGACCTTGGCAAATATGATACCACAAATGTCGTCAAATTGTCCATTTTGCAAGCCAAAGGACAAGTCCCTGTAGAATCTCAAGCTTGGTTGGTGATGTATTCCCCAGAATCTTCTGAAAAACTTTTCAGTTTTTGGTTGCTGTTAATTCAATCCAGTTTTCCAGCATTTCTTTATTCCAGAACTTACAGTTTTAAAAAACAGTTATACTTGGTGAACCGGACTGACAAAAAACCTTGCACAACAACTCAAAACACAGACCAAAAACATTGATTCAACAAAAAGGCAGAGGTAATGCACATATCTCAAGCATTTATAATCACTACGCAAAGACACCTAAAGGTGATATCTGAGGAATATGCTGTTATATATATTTCACATACATAATATATCCATATCATCCATACCTAAGTGGAAAATATTAAGGAAGCAAGCGACTAACAAGATCGAAATTACTTGAGGGTCCCTACTAATCCCCTCTCTCTCTTCCCTCTTGTCTATGAATCTCGGCTGAAGGCTGATCCTGAATCTCTCTATGCTCCCTCTCTCTCTCTCTCTCTCTCTCCCCCCTGGTCACAAGGGTGGAAAATTAGGTGAAATAAAGAGTGAAATAGCCAAAAAAATCAAATAAAATAGTTTGCCCGTGTGGCCGATAATCTGTCCATCTAAGCTCCAGTTGCTCGGGTAATCCAGATAATCCACTTGCTAGCATCCTGATTCTCAGGTAGGATGAGTCCACTGGGCAAACGAGCCCAAACCCTTGAGCTCAATGACGCTGGGCGCGAAGGCCCTGAGATGCCTGCAGCGAAACCCAGAGCCCGGGAGCTAGTATCTAGCTGCGCAGTTGGGTGGTACACTTTCACTCTTCAGAAACCAATGATTGCAGATATGGCAGCCACTGGTGATTTTGCCCCACGCTGGGCGCGAACTCAGATGCCGATGCCCTGCTGCCAATGACATCACAACTATCTCGAAGTCAAGGTTATCTGAAAGTCTGTCTCTCAAAGACAGAGAGTGACAAGCACCCCATTGAACTAGCACCACGGAGATAAAATATTTAGATATATCTAGGGCCCCGCCGAGGAAATATTGAAGCACTGCATCAGAGCTGCACGCGATCTGAAGGCATAAAGCACACACTCTGCAATTACTCCAAACCCAGATGAGGAACTTAGCAAGGAATCAAAGGCAGCTGTGATGACCTGAATCTGAATGCCCTGCTACGTATTTTTCTTCTCACTCTGTCCACTTCTGAACAAACGGAGACACACAGGGCACCAAGCAATTGAGGCAGCTCGACACCATGAGCACATGGCCTAGGTGACCCGCACAAGCTGAGACGTGTAGGTGCATTTTATAGATCACTTCGAAAAAGAACACAACACGAAACAGAACGTGTTCATGTGGAGCCTTGCACCCTGTCTGAAAATGTAAAACCAAAATGCTCTCAGAGCTTGGAGAGCTTTGGATTTGCTCTGTAGATTGCAAAATGTCTACCACTTTTCAGGGTGGATTGATGGCGTAGAATGGCGACTGCTACATGAGGGTCCTTTTTTTTCACTGCATGGGAGCCGACGATGAGTCTGACCAGCCGCACTGATGGGAGCCACGCATGTTTTGACATGCAAAACAATAAAACCAGATGCATTCGAAGGGCCTCTTAAATTCGAAGTCCACTCTTTGAGCAATGCTCATGTATCGGTTCACCGACACCATGCAATAATGCATGTAAAAAAAAAAAACTTCACATCTGCCAGGGGTGGGCAGCTTCCATATGCAGCTTCTCACCACGAATTTTGCATCAGTGGTACGGTCAGACATGAGACATATCAAATGCCCAAGAAACGCTGCCAGCTTTTGCCTGCAAAAAGCAAGCCAAAAATAAAACTTCCTCTGAGGCCGATAGTTAACATATACACCTGTAGCCTAAAGAGGCAGCACATTTCACCAATGACCGTGGTACCTTTTCCCGCATTGATTTCAGTTAGAAGCTGTGCCAGGGTTAGAAGCTGTGCATTCGCTTAGAAGTTGTGCACGTGAGTTAAAGTTGTGCCCGTCAGTTAGAGTTAGAAGTTGTGCAGTTAGAAATAAAGTTGTGCCCGTCAGTTAGAAGTTGCGCAGTTAGATTTGCGCACGTCAGTTAGAAGCTGTGCACGTCAGTTCAGTTAGATCTTGCGCACGTAGTTAGAATTTGTGGAGTCAGTTAAAGGTGGGGGAGGGGGGTGGGGGGGGCAAGGGGTAGAACCGGGTGGGGTCTGGCCACTTGCCACACGCTCTTGGGGTACGCTGTAACATGTCTCTGGTCACTTGCCACACGCTCTTGATGCTACGCTGTAACATGTCTCTGGTCACTTGCCACACGCTTTTGATGTTACGCTGTAACATGTCTCTGGTCACTTGTCACACGATTTTGATGCTACGCTGTAACATGTCTCTGGTCACTTGCCACACGCTCATGATGCTACGCTGCAATATGTCTCTGGTCACTTGTCACACGCGGTTGATGCTACGCTGTAACATGTCTCTGGTCACTTGCCACACGCTCTTGATGCTACGCTGTAACATGTCTCTGGTCACTTGCCACACGCTCTTGATGCTACGCTGTAACATGTCTCTGGTCACTTGCCACACGCTTTTGATGTTACGCTGTAACATGTCTCTGGTCACTTGTCACACGATTTTGATGCTACGCTGTAACATGTCTCTGGTCACTTGCCACACGATTTTGATGCTACGCTGTAACATGTCTCTGGTCACTTGGCACACGCTCATAATGCTACGCTGCAATATGTCTCTGGTCACTTGTCACACGCGGTTGATGCTACGCTGTAACATGTCTCTTGTGTTTCTATTTTCAGGTGCGATAGGTGCGTAAAGTAAGGCGTGTAATGTTGGCTTTGAGAGTTGGGAGTTTCACATCAATTTGCTTATCGGACATCGGACCCATGAAATTTCTACCGCTAACACCATGGGTTCCCAAGAGTATACAGGCTGTTATCATGTCTGGATCGTACATCACTCATCTCATAGTTTCTTTTGTTTGTTCATTGGATTGAAACACACCTGACAAATGATGGTTTATCATGATGCAACTGAAGCGCTTCCTGCCCTTCTCCGTCCATAGTAAAGGCAAGGTTACCAAAAAGGATTCTCAAAGAATCCAAAAGTATGTGTGGTCCTTCGCCTATCGTTGGAGCCACAAGGCAGGCTTGAAAGGAAGTCTCGCCAAACTGGCAGCTAAGGTTAACAAATGCAGGCGCTGAACCCATGAAGAGAGAAAAAAAAGAGGACGAAACGCCGTTTTTTATTCCGTTTTCCAAATCTACATTTGCAAATTATTTAGCCCAATAGAATTCAACGATCAATGAATAAATTCGTAGCGTAACATGGGGCGAAAGCACCACGTCTAATTGAAGGCAAAACAACAAAATCGTCACGGCGCCACAGTTTTGAACAAAACAATGAAGTATCATTAAAAACACCGGGTCCGCTATCAGCGCCGGTACCTTGTTTAAAGAACCGCTGAAGTATCAGTGAGAGGCTTCACGATCTTGGAACATACGGAATAGATCGGTCCTTGATAAGAGCAGCACAGAACCTTAGAAACACACAGTGGCACCGCATCAAGTAGGCACCTGTATAGATATAGCATTTCATCAGGTTGGCTTGTTCTGCCTCAGCCTAGCATGTGATACAATGCATCTGAGCTTCTGGCCGGCATGGCATGTAGAAGGACTATCTTCTTGAAGGACAACAAGCTAAAGTCATTTCGTAGCCAGCTCGTAGGCCTGGCGCAAAAATCTAGGCCCGATTTGGCGGCCCAATGGTGGACAAATTATACAAACACTTTTCTCCCATTGGGCCCTGGAGTTCCTTGTACCTGTCAAGCAACTCATCTGGCACCAGAAAGACACCCGGTGACGCAAGAAGGAAAAAGGCCAGGCGGACAATCCCAAAAAGTGACAACTGTAACTTTCACTCAAAATCCATCCGATCGCCAAATCTGCGTACGGAACTTTACAGTGCTAACCTTGTCCATCTGCTTCATACTAATGTCACTGCGTCAAGTTGTGACAAAGTTTGGACCGTTAATCTTGGAAGTGCGACTGTTGAATATGGCAAATGCTGCCACCTGTGTTGCAGCTGCCAGGCCTACCAACCAGGCTGGCAGGAGATTCTAAAGCGAATCCTCATCACACTTCACCTGAAGCCAAGTTCAGACCCGTTCTCTCAAAGTTGAATTGGAAAAGTTCCAGGAAAATTGAGGAAGTCCAAGTCTGAGATAGCAATGTCATATCCATAATATCCGATTCCAAGAAAACGACGCTCTGTTTGGACTGCGGAAATTGTGCTCCGTCCTGCCAAGAACCATTCTCTTGGCCCTGTGCAGGTCTACAACACTGCGATAATACCATATCATCATATGAGTGGCAGACGAACTTACTTACTACTCGCAATGGACATGGCCAAAGTGGGTGGTCCCCTATCGGTTGTGAAGGTTTTCACACAAATTTGAACATCCGAAGTCCACTCCCTACTACTGTAGTTTTCCGCTAATTTTGTCGGTTACTCATATATTTTGACATGTATTTGTATTATCCAATATTTAGTTTGAATTTTACTCTAAGATGAATGTTCCGGCAGGATGTGGCAGCTGCAGAAAAATTGCACACAATTCTAGTACTCAAGCCCCGATAATCGATCTGCAAGGTCCCCAATGGTCCCAATAGACCCTACTCATCCAGGCCCTTCCTCTCCGTACAAAGATCTTTTTGCAGCGCTCAAATTTGCTTCCGGGTGCCCCCGGTATGTCTCCACATGAGGCAGGAATTGAGGTCAAAAGGAATGTCCAAAAGAAGAGCAAGAGGCTTCCTCACAAGCCCGCAGTGAATCATGAAAGAGAAGGTTGTGAGGATCGCTGACTTTGACTTAATTGATTTAACACTACCGACTGCGGGCCTTCATGCATCTCAGAATGTCAGAAGTGACCAACTGCACTTGGCTGGCGATGTTCCGCTAGTTTGCGAGCCCTCAAGGTATTGAGCGCTCGTTCTGTGCTTCTCACAATTGGCTCAATGACAATCGTCGATGTGAGCATTCCAGTACTGAGACTACTGCGACATGAAACTCTCTGCTAATGGGAGCTGCACTGCCAATGAAGTCTCTAAAGCGATGGCGGCGCGACATGACATTGTAAAGCTAAAGTGCAGCCGAACGCTACAGGGTGGAGGTTACCACTCTGGCCCCTTGAAGATCAGGCTGGTACAACGCAAACAAGTTACTTCAAAAAGCAAGAACGTTAGAAACTCCGGACACCAAAGACCAAGGGACCAATATGTGGATAGCAAATGGTCAGACCAAACACAAGCGAGGCATCAAAGCTCTCAAAATAGGGCACTGCAGCGCGTAGTAGTAACATCGCCACATTGTGCTCTCAAGCTTTGAAATATTCTGCCAAGTGTTTCTCCAAGATTCATTCTTGCAAACACGAAGAAAATATATCTTAGTATCAGTTCAGCCACTCCACCTAGTTGAATGGACTGAAAACCGTATCTTTACAGATGTTTATCTGACATTGCGAGTGTTCATTCCATCAGTGTCAGCACTGATCAACTGCACTTGACTTGCTGTGTTGCGCTGGCCTTGCTATGAGCCACCAAGGGCGATATTGAGCATTCGTTCTGTGCTTTGCAACTGTAACTGAGGCTCAATGCTGTTGATGTGAACGAGAATTCCAGCAAAAATATTAATGTGCACAATTTGTGCTAGAGACTGGCAAGCATGCAATTACCAGCTCTTGTTGGACGTCGTGTGGTAAAACACTCCACAAAGGCACGACTCTAAGACTAAGCGGGACAGTGGGAGCATTGCCCACAAACTCTCCAAATCGCTCAGCAAGACAAACATGAGATATCATGAGATATCATGAGATACTGCAGATATATATATATATACTGTTACAAACAGCCTGAGCCGTCGCAAGGTGCCAAGAGCCGAGGATACCAGGAGTGTCACTCTGGCTCTTGAAGATCTGACAGTTTCACACACCGAGAAACCAGCTGCATCAAAAAAAGTGCTAAAAACTGGGCGAGATAAACCAAGAACATTCACAGTTGTGGTCGTCAATGGCCGTCATATCTCGGATCTTCAAGACTTCAAGATCTCTCAGTCCCCGGCAGCTTGCGATAGGCCAGCGAAGACCCAAACATCAAATGATATAAAATGATATCAATGCAGAATCACCAGGGCCAAACAACTGTCAATCGTTCTGCGGCAGGTTACGGTATCCCTCGGCTATTCCATTCCGCAAGTCGGCAATGGCTTGGCTCAGATGCTGCGCCAAGGGTTCCTCTGTGATGTACTTGTGCAAAACTCCCAGCAAAGCCATCAAAGACATCCGTGTCAACACCTGGAGAGGTTTGTGGCATGTTGGGTTGAGGAGATGTCAAAACTCATGGGAAATGTTGTGGCAGGTCAAATTCCTGTTGTTGATCTCGAAGCGTCTTTGATTCCATTTGTCTATGCGTGCACTCTACCCTTTGACCCTCCAACCTTTGCACAACAGGATGGCATTAGAAATTGACTAGGGTGATCGGCTAGCTTCCCAGCAGGCTGGCACTCAATGCCACTAGCATGTCTAAGATCTAGAACCCTTCCCTGCCAGCCACAAGCCCGGCCAAGGCCTTCGACGCAGTTTCCAGGACATGCCCAGGACGTTCTGGTAGCCCCGGTAGCTCGGGAAGCTCCAGAGCTGAAGGACCAGACTTTTGCAAAAGCTCCAACACACTTTCGGCTTCCTGCCAGCCATCCTGCACCTGGTCCAGCTCCAAACAGGTCCAAGTGTCTGATGTTAAAAAAATTACTTTACTTCGTGTGATCCCCACTGCTAAATTTCATAAACCCTGGCCCCTATAGGAAAGAAAAAACAAAAAAGCGTTATATATCTGCAGGTACCTGTCATAAGATTTAAAACACTTAAAACGACTTAAACACAAACGGGTCTTAGTATAATCGAGTATGCAAATAGTAGATGCAACATATCTAGTAAATACAGGTGCGTATACACATCTATCATCAACTACCTATCAAATCATGTTCATGACATCATGTCAAGTTCATGCTGGAACTTCACAAGCTTTCCTAGTCTTCCATGACCGTTCTCCCATGACAGGAGGACTTTTTTCAATGACAAAAGCTTAATTTTGAAATCCTTTTTCAAAAGTGTTTCACCAAATATAATGCCAAAAAAAATATATAGTTCCTTTTTTTTGGAACTATAATTTTGAAATCCTTTTTCAAATGTGTTTCACCAAAATATAATGCCAAAAAAAAATATAGTTCCTTTTTTTTTGGAACTATAATTTTGAAATCCTTTTTCAAAAGTGTTTCACCAAATATAATGCCAAAAAAAATATAGTTTCTTTTTTTTTGGAACTATAATTTTGAAATCCTATTTCAAAAGTGTTTCACCAAATATAATGCCAAAAAAATATAGTTCCTTTTTTTGGGAACTATAATCTTGAAATCCTTTTTCAAAAGTGCTTCACCAAATATAATGCCAAAAAAAAATATAGTTCCTTTTTTTTGGAACTATAATTTTGAAATCCTTTTTCAAAAGTGGTTCAACAAATATAATGCCAAAAAAATATAGTTCCTTTTTTTTGGAACTATAATTTCGAAATCCTTGTTCAAAAGTGTTTCACCAAATATAATGCCCAAAAAAAAAAAGTTCCTTTTTTTTGGAACTATAATTTTGAAATCCTTTTTCAAAAGTGGTTCACCAAATATAATGCCAAAAAAAATATCGTTCCTTTTTTTTTGGAACTATAATCTTGAAATCCTTTTTCAAAAGTGTTTCACAAAATATAATGCCAAAAAAAATATAGTTCCTTTTTTTTGGAACTATAATTTTGAAATCCTTTTTCAAAAGTGTTTCACCAAATATAATGCCACAAAAAAATATAGTTCCTTTTTTTTGGAACTATAATTTTGTTGTTCTTTTTCAAAAGTGGTTCAATGCCCAAAAAAAATAAAGTTCCATATAGTTCCTTTTTTTTTGGAACTATAATTTTGAAATCCTTTTTCAAAAGTGTTTCACCAAATATAGTGCCAAAAAAAATATAGTTCCTTTTTTTTGGAACTATAATCTTGAAATCCTTTTTCAAAAGTGGTTCACCAAATATAATGCCAAAACAAAATATAGCTCCTTTTTTTTTGGAACTATAATTTTGAAATCCTTTTCTTAAAGTGCTTCACCAAATATAATGCCAAAAAAAATATAGTTCCTTTTTTTTTGGAACTATAATCTTGAAATCCTTTTTCAAAAGTGGTTCAACAAATATAATGCCAAAAAAATATAGTTCCATATAGTTCCTTTTTTTTGGAACTATAATTTTGAAATCCTTTTTCAAAAGTCGTTCAACAAATATAATGCCAAAAAAAAATATAGTTCCTTTTTTTTTGGAACTATAATTTATAATGCGTTTTTCTAGAAATGTTGCTAATACATAGTCACTGTTTTGGATCCAATTTTGCTGGAAAAAAACCTTATTTAATATTAGCAGCAACCTTTAGCGCTAATACTAAACAAGGTTTTTTTCAGCAAAATTGGATCCAAAACAGTGACTATGTATTAGCAACATTTCTAGAAAAACGCATTATAAATTATAGTTCCAAAAAAAAGGAACTATATTTTTTTTTGGCATTATATTTGTTGAACGACTTTTGAAAAAGGATTTCAAAATTATAGTTCCAAAAAAAAGGAACTATATGGAACTATATTTTTTTTTGGCATTATATTTGGTGAAACACTTTTGAAAAAGGATTTCAAAATTATAGTTCCAAAAAAAAGGAACTACATTTTTTTTGGCATTATATTTGGTGACGCACTTTTGAAAAAGGATTTCAAAATTATAGTTCCAAAAAAAAAGGAACTATATTTTTTTCGGCATTATATTTGGTGAAACACTTTTGAAAAAGGATTTCAAAATTATTGTGTTCAGCACTCGGACTTTTCGCTCTCGTCGCAGGAACTGTAGGCTTTGAATTGAGGCTTCTGCCTCGCCTGTGTTTAAACACATCACATGCAAAAGAAGTTCCGAGTCTTCATGGTAGAAGACATTGTTTTACCAACCCAAGCTTTCATGGTAGAAAGCATCTTGTTACCTCATGGTAGAGGTTTATATGTATCCTTATGAATTTTTCAGACAAAACCAAAAGATCTCCAAAAGATCTCCAGTCCCCAAGGGAGGGAGCGGTGGGCTCCTTTGAGCCTTAAAGCAACACAGCGTACAATCACTTCAAGTCCTGGCATCACACAAGCAGTTCTAAGAACGACCTTGTGTTCAGCACTCGGACTTTTCGCTCTCGTCGCAGGAACTGTAGGCTTTGAATTGAGGCTTCTGCCTCGCCTGTGTTTAAACACATCACATGCAAAAGAAGTTCCGAGTCTTCATGGTAGAAGACATTGTTTTACCAACCCAAGCTTTCATGGTAGAAAGCATCTTGTTACCTCATGGTAGAGGTTTATATGTATCCTTATGAATTTTTCAGACAAAACAAAAAGATCTCCAAAAGATCTCCACGCTTCCAAGCATTCATGCGACGCGCTCACCCCAGGTGAGGGCTGAAAAAGTGAAATCGTTTAATAAGCGTTGTGGTTCTTGTAGACATCTTCAAGTTTGGCAGGTAACTGAGGCCATCACTGATGTAAATTCGGGCCACTTTTGATGATTGCCACCTTCCTTTAATCAACGCAGCTTCCATAGAATTGGTAATTTGAAAATGATGAGTAGCTCCTCCGCGTCTTAAACTGTAAGGTCTGAATTGATGACTTGAGAGGTCATAGTGGTCACAAAGCAGCTTGAATTGTTGGCGGAAAGAACTTGGTGAATGAACCCATAACCTGGGCCCTGTATTTGTTTCCTTTCGTAGTGAGATAAGCTGTTTAACAGCTTCAAGGGTAGGAATATCTGTGAAACTGACGAATTCACTGGCATTGTCTCTACGTCCTGATTTTGTATGCTTCAAAGACACCAGCCCAGAGGAATGACCCAAGCAAAAATCGTTAACTGTGAGCTGCAAAAGTTCTCCGGTACGAAGGAGACAAAAGAAACCGAGCAAAAGCATCACAGTCATATCCAGTCGGTTGTTTTCCATTTCAAAAACAGCCATGCTCCTAACCAAGACTCTGGTTAGGGGGAGGTGCTCTGCTCGGGATCTCCACTTTCCTCCAAACAGTGAAAAGTTTCCAGGCATGGGGCAGCCTTTTCTTTGTAGAAGGTTCGAAATGCTGTATTGCACTCAGGCCATCGCCTACAGTAAGCAGTGGTTCGCCTGCCTTCCACATGACACGTATCCAGGTACATATTTTATTGTCTAAGTCATCCAAGCATTCAGCACTTTCGAAATACGGTAACAATTTTCGTAGTGCCAGATAATACCGCGTCTTCGTCTTTTCAGACAGCGCGGCATCCTCAAGTTCAATATTTCTACGCTGCCTGACTTTTTCCTTTCGTGTGCAGCGACCTGCAAACAGGTAGACTACCATTATAGCCTTGAGCCCCGATCCGAAGGATTGTCCAGTGAGTCAACATGTGCTATAACCAATTGGAGTCCAAAGGTTAACAGGAGTGCCGAAATATGACGGAGAACCCTATTAAGCTGAAGACTGCCCGAGCGCCCCTTGCTGCAAACACTGATACAAACGTAAGAATCACTGATTTGGAAAATGCGTTTGTCCACTGTTTTAAATCTCTGAATTTGGTGTTTGATTCCCAAAAGCACTGCTTCAAGTTCCAGAACATTAATATGAGATGAGGATTGCCACCGTTTCCTGAACTCATCCTTCCATTCCCACCAAGAGGCAGCCACCGACTCACGGGGAAAACTTTTTGGGTTTGTTAGAGTTCCCGAAATAACCCTCACATCTGAACCTGTGTGATTGGTGCGCCTCAGTAAAAGTCGATTAAATTGTTCCATCCCAAGACAGTGGGGAATTGAACTAATATCTGAACCATAAGCCAATCCTCGCATCAAAGGAATAATACTGCGCACATGTGCTTTAAACCCCGGTGACATCCCCATGCGATTCGCCACGTGCTTGTAACTCATTCCAGGTAAAAATCGCTTGACAAAGGCAGCAGCCACAATACAAAAAGAATAAATACTGAAGCTATCCCCAAGGTAGCTATGCCTTGCGTCATCAAAACCTTGTGGTGATTGTTTTACCCGGGATGCCGGCCAAGCAAACTCTGTGTGTTTGTACCCATAGCCAAGCAAGAGTTCTTTCTCTTCAGCACTCAGTAGTCGCCATGTATTCGGCGTTGAGATGATGTATTTCCAGTCATATTGATAAGGTGGGTAGCGGAAAGCATCTTCAGTCCACCTTTGAATAGTCAAATTGTCACACTTCTCTATCCCTGCTGGTCGTGGCGGCGGATGTTGCCTGACAATTGCTTTCATACAAGTGGGGAAGGTAGCACCCACTCTCTCACCTGCCCAATCATGTTCAGGCTCCAGCCATTGCTCCGTATTGGGATAGTCCGCCGTTGCCACGACTTCAGTCCAATACCGCTTGGAGTGAAAACTGATGTCTGGGAAAACCCCCTCCAATGATTCCGATACCCAAGCAAACCTGGGCCGCTTCATAGGCACTGCATGGACCGGATCAAGGTGGTAGGGCCAAGACCCACGTTCCTCTGAGATTTCTTTGCAAGCGTCCTGATCCATTGAAGCAACGTTTTCAACAGCTGATTTAACCACCACTTCCGGTCCAAACTCCTCCTGGATTAACTGCTCAATCCTTGGAATCTCCCAAAATAGCTTGCTATTGCTGCCCTTCAGGTTTGCTCTATTAAACTTTACTGCAGAAAGATCTGTACATGGAAAACCGGCCCACACATGCACCTCCTGAATCCGGAGGAACTTTGAGCTCCATGAACGCACCAGTGCGCGATCTACCAACTTCACATCATTGATTATGATCGTTCCTGGCCACCGTTTCTGGGTGATCCTATTGGCTCCTGGGTCACATTCAACTGCTATGCGACCCATGGGTGACACCCCCAAAATATCATAGCACCTGAAGCTTCCTCCTATACCATTGAAAAGGCTTACAATGAGTACAGGGATGGCTTCTGAACTTCCAAATGCTTCTATCTTCCTTGTCGCTTGCAGGAAATCAAGCCCCGTTGAGGTCAGAGAAGTTGCTGCTGAAATTGCACATCCTCGCTCTGAAGCGTCCGTTGCAATAACCTTTTCTTCCACTGGGGCACTCAAATTGCAGTGGAGTAGGGGGGACAACAAGACCAGCTGTAAGAGTTCGGTTCGCACTGCTCGCCTCATCTTATCTGTCACCTTTTCATATCCAGAGATAAATTTCCAAACTTGCTGCAAAATGGCCATAGCTGGCCGTCTGAATTGTAATACAAACACCCATCTCCCTGCCATAATCTGAACATGTTTTCTATTCAGACATGGCTGAGACACCAACCAAAGGGTTCCCTGTATCAATGGGAGAAGTTTCTCATTTCCAACCCCCAAGGTTCCATTGTGGCCGTCTACCTCGGCACCTAGTTCCGTGACCCTTGATGCCGCCACAACCTTTTTCTTTGCTGAAGAAATCACCCCTGCGTCCCCCCAAGCTTGCTCCACTTGCTCATGACATAAAGCTCCCTTTGTTGAATGCTGCTCCGGCATAACTCGCTCCCCAGCGCAGAAATTGTCCAAGTAAACATGAAACCATGTCCGTTCTTGATCTTCAGCCCCCTTGAGAACATCGTTCATCCAAGCTGGTAGGGGTGTCCCCTTCAACACTTGCCCCAGGCATGACACTCGACCTTTCTTGACCAGATTTTCAGAGATTTCTTGCATGATTCCAACGCTGTTAAGCCATCCCATGGGTATTACGTTACAAACCAATGCAAAATCCAATAACGGGTTTCGACCAATTGAAGAGCCAGGTACCACAATGTTGAAAGCCAAATGACCCTGCCACACTTTGGGGATTTTGAAGAGGTAGAAAGCGCTAGACATATCAGATTGAAACAGTTTGATGTGCTCCCCAGCATCAACAACGATACTTTGCCATGCTGTGATACCCGGTAGTGTACTGCAACCCCCCTCAAGCTGTTCCTGTGTTGAGTTTGAGCCAGTTAGATTCATGATCAGACGCAACACTGGTTGTCCAGTTGCCAACAACGTGGGTTTACTAACCCCAAATAATCCATTAAGGATTTTCTGTCCTTTGACCTCATAAACTTCCGAGAGGGGAAGCCAGTCACAGATATTTCTTCGGACCAGTTCCGAGGCAATTGCAAACCTATCTTCGGACTTGATATGCACTTTGCCGGGTAACTTAGGCAATGAAATCTCTGAAGGGTCCTTCAAAAGGCGTGTGGGATCCAGTAAGAACTCCCTAGTCCTTTCACCAACCCAGTCAAGTGAGTTAATTGAACCGCCATGGTGTTCAGGTGGTAAAGAAGGTATCACTTGATCCCAAGTTAATTCATGACATGTTGAAATTTCTTCACCATTGTAACCAACCTGCCTACTCTTCATGTCTTTTTGCCATGCGGACTCGGTCAGCGCATCGTTCTCTACAAAGGTTGCTAGCCTCCGTTCCACGGCTGAGGCTATGCTACCTGCCGCAGCACGCTCGGCTTGCGTCCAGCGGCCGCTCACCGGCAAGGTAGGCGTACCATTCAACGCATTCAACCCGCACATGCACAAGAGCAGCCAGGCCTGTTTTTGCCAGCGCTCCACAAAAGCTGCGGATGTAGCTTCTTGCAACGAAATGTTCTTGTACACCTCAATGAATTCCAGCAAGTCTCCCTCCCTTAGGGGGAATACAGCGCCCTTAGGCCTTGGGCGCCGTTGTGCTCCTGCGACAGTTGCTTTCAGCAACCCCTGGAAGAGCTCCGAAGTGAAACTATCCCCCTCGAGGCAGCGAGGAGGCATGACCAACCACCACGCCAACATGCACGCCATCCGCGGTAGAGAGGTACCCAAAAGTAACCCCTCCTTGAAGGCTTGCGTGGTCACGCCTTCCCTGCCCCGAGGAGATCGGGGGATGCGCTCGGCTTTGGCCAGCGCAAGCGCACCCTTTTCCACAGTCATTTGTCTCCTGGTTTCTCCTTTTTCTTGAGAGCCTCGCCATCGGCATCTGCGTATGGCCCTGGCCATCCACCCTTTCCTTTTCCTCGGCCTTTTGGGCCCTTCTGTTTCCCTTTGACTTGACCCTGCCATTCTGTCTCGTTCCAGGCAGGATACTTTCCTTTTCCTCCTCTGCCCTTTGGGTTTTGGCGCCAGCCCCACGGCGCGTCCGCACCCAGCGCCTTTGCGGCGACCCGGGCATGCTTCCGCGCCTGTAGGACCACGCTGGTTCCAGCAGCGCTCACCTCCTCGTAGGGCATCACCTCCAGGTGTCTGGCCGCTTGCCAGCCCCCGTCCAACACTGACTGGTGGAGGCTGATAAAGCGGCCCGCTAGGACATCTCCCAGCCTGCTCAGTTCTCCTTTTCTTAGGAGGTCTATGCAGTTTGAGAGATGATACATCTCCCTGGTGGGACCCAGAGCTGTCCCCAGATTCGGCTTGACGATGATGCTGAAGTAGCTTGCAATCCTCACTCCCAAGGTGGGATCTTCTGTTGCTGCATTCCCAACTTCCACCTTGGCTGTCTGGTCCAGCTGTTGCCGGGCATGGTTGATGAGAAGCCGCAACACGCTGCCCGGGCGCTTCAACGACTTGCGTCGGAGCGGGGCTTCCATCTTGCTCTCCTCCTTGTCCTCGTCTCCTGAGCTGCTTGAAGAACCACCTGAATCTCCTCCTCCACTGGGCGTCGGAGAGCTCCCTGACGAATCGCTGGGGTCTCCTCCTTCCTCTAGTTTGACACGCCTCCGCCTCTTTCTGTTCTTCTTGTCTTTCTTCTCCTTCTTGTCCTTCTGACCCTTGGCTAACTTGGTAAGGATCTTCAACAGCTGGGATCCAGCGTCCTTCTTGGACAGACGCGAATCCTCCTCTCTGCTGCCCGACGCATAAGCTGCGTCTGCAAGGTGGTCGTAGTGCCATCGCTTATAGCCATGGCCCCAGTCGCCGTTTCGAGGCTCCGGACCCCACCTGTCTTCTTCCTCTTTTTCTTGACTTTCGGGATGACTTTGGGGCGGTCGGCAAAGGTCACTTGAGTGGCCCCCCGATCCAACTCCTTCCCCGTCAGACAGGTCCCCGTACTCGGCCCCTCTTCCGCTATTGAGGCTGAATAGCCTTCCGAGGAAGACTCCACGTCCTGGACAACCGGAGAGCCAGGCACCCCGCGCTCGCATGTTGCAGCGCGTCCCAGACTCTCGGCCACCAGTCCATGGGCCATACTCTCCTTGGCTTTCCGGAGCCTTTCGCGTAGCATAGCACGCTTGGCCTCCTCGGTGGCGCTCGGCTCGGCGCCAGCGCCAGGGACCTCTGACTCCTTGGGGGGTGCGCCAGGCGGTTTGCCGGCGCGCCTCTCTTTCACCTTGCGGGGCGCTGCGCGCAAAGCCGGCGCCCGCTTTGGGCCAGGAGCTGGAGGGCGTTTTCCTGTTTCTTCTTCCTCTGGTTCCCCAGTGCTCATCCCTAAATCTCCCAGCCATTTCTTGATCTGGTTTCGCGTGTGGGCAGTCATGTACTCGCGTGCAAAGCCTTCTACACTGTAGACTCTGATGCGCTTCACATGGAAGTCCTCGTCCCCGTAATCCATGCACAGCGAGCTTGGGCAAAGATGAATGTGCCCTTCTTTCCTGTTGAAAGCACTTGAAAGTTCCCGAGCCACCTGGGGATCGCCACAACCCAAACTCTTCACATGAAGGCGCAGTGATGCGTCGTGGGTTATACGAGTCCCCATAACCAAGAAGCCGCCCCAAATGGGCTCTTCCTTCTCGTCGTGGGGTTCCACTGGCGCTTCTACAATGCACCCTTTGTCTATCAGCAAAGACCCCCACTCGGCGGGGTCGTCCACTGAAAACTCCTTCCCATCTTCTATTCTCGCCATTGCTCCCTTCGCCGGGCAAGTGGCTCTCTCTCCTCCAATCTTGACTGAGTGTCCCAGAATGCCCCTGGGCGTTTTCTGTGTACTCTGATGGATGGGTCTTCCAACGTTCTATGAAGCCCCTGATGTTTTCGACCTCCTCGGCGACCACGGTCACGATCACGACCTTTGTTTTTCTTCTTTTTCTTCTTCCTGGACCTATCCTCAGCTTCACGCTCAGACGGCCTGAAGGTATCCTGCTGAACCACTTCCTTTGGTTTGGGGGGAACTGCTGGTTCAGGAGGGCGTCTCGCAGGATCAGCCTTAGGATGGGCCCCAGTGACTTCGTCTTCTTCTTCTTTTTCAGATTCTTCCTCCTCTTCGTCTGTCTCGTAGTCACTCTCAGCGGCTTTCTCAGCCTTGATGGGAGCAGGAGGTGGTGGTGGAAGCTCCCGGGATGTTATCCCAGCGCTGCGACTGCGCTTGTCCCCCTGCGACGCAGCGCTACGGCTTTCACCGGCGCTGCGAAGGCTCGACGAGAGATTCCTCAGAGCCCGCAGTTGTTTGGCGGCCGTCACCACCACCTCAGTACCCAGATCCCTAACTCCCTTGGAATGCCAAGGGGAGTTGAGTTCTATTTCAATCTGCTCCCAGCTGATACAAGCCAAGCACCAAGTGTCCCCGTCAAAAGGAACACTTTGCTTACACTTGGCGCAGGCCATTCAAACTTGCTCCTTTGAGCCTTAAAGCAACACAGCGTACAATCACTTCAAGTCCTGGCATCACACAAGCAGTTCTAAGAACGACCTAGTTCCAAAAAAAAAGGAACTATATTTTTTTTTGGCATTATATTTGGTGAAACACTTTTGGAAAAGGATTTCAAAATTATAGTTCCAAAAAAAAGGAACTACATTTTTTTTTGGCACTATAATTGGTGAAACACTTTTGAAAAAGGATTTCAAAATTATAGTTCCGAAAAAAAAGGAACTATATTTTTTTGGCATTATATTTGGTGACGCACTTTTGAAAAAGGATTTCAAAATTATAGTTCCAAAAAAAGGAACTATATTTTTTTCGGCATTATATTTGGTGAAACACTTTTGAAAAAGGATTTCAAAATTATAGTTCCAAAAAAAAGGAACTATATTTTTTTTTGGCATTATATTTGGTGACGCACTTTTGAAAAAGGATTTCAAAATTATAGTTCCAAAAAAAAAGGAACTATATTGGTTTTTTGGCATTATATTTGGTGAGACACTTTGAAAAAGGATTTCAAGATTATAGTTCCAAAAAAAAAGGAACTATATTTTTTGTTGGCATTATATTTTGTGAAACACTTTTGAAAAAGGATTTCAAACTTATAGTTCCAAAAAAAAAGGAACTATATTTTTTTTTGGCATTATATGTTGTGAAACACTTTTGAAAAAGGATTTCAAAATTATAGTTCAAAAAAAAAGGAACTATTTTTTTTTGGCATTATATTTGGTGAAACACTTTTGAAAAAGGATTTCAAAATTATAGATAGTTCCAAAAAAAAAAGGAATTATATTTTTTTGGCATTATATTTGGTGAAACACTTTTTGAAAAAGGATTTCAAAATTATAGTTCCAAAAAAAAAGGAACTATATTTTTTTTGGCATTATATTTGGTGAAACACTTTTGAAAAAGGATTTCAAAATTATAGTTCCAAAAAAAGGAACTATATTTTGTTTTGGCATTCACATCAGAAAGAGAGTCAAAGTTCAACTTCTTGGTACAAAGTAAAAAACATACTACATATACATATCGTCTTACATCGAACCTGACACCATCTTGTGGATTTTCATGGGGGTGCCTGACGGTGCCTGCGCCAACTCATGGCTCAGAACAGTTTTCACATTTGCTCCCATGTTTGCTATTTCGTTTTTGGACCACCAGCTGCAAGATCCCAAAACAAGCTTGCGACATAGGTTAGTGGCTTTGCCCGTATGCAAAGAACATGGTTCCACTGCATGCTGACTCAACAGCTGCAGTGGTTTGCCCATATACAAACGGATAAATGTTTCCACTGCATGCTGAATCAATAGTTGCTATCTCAGCCTTCATTGCACATTAACAAGTCTTGCCCAGAAATATAACCCTTTTTTTAAAGTTTCCACCTGGAATTACGCAATTTAGCAATCCCCACCATGACATTTATACATTTTCTTACTGGCAAATCTTCTGGCATTCTATCTGACATATCTTCTGACATTCTATTTGGCATTCTATCTGGCATATCTTCTGGTATATGATCTGGCATATCTTCTGGCATTCTATCTGGCAAATCTTCTGGCATTCTATCTGGCATATCTTCTGGCATTCTATCTGACATATCTTGTGGCATTCAATCTGGCATTCTATCTGGCATATCTTCTGGCATATATTCTGATATATCTTCTGGCATTCTATCTGACATATCTTCTGGCATATATTCTGACATATCTTCTGGCATATCTTCTGGCATATCTTCTGGCATATCTTCTGACATATCTATCTGGCATATCTTCTGGCATATTTTCTGGCATTCTATCTGGCAATTCTTCTGGCATTCTATCTGGCATTCTATCTGGCATATCTTCTGGCATATTATCTGGCATTCTATCTGGCATATCTTCTGGCATATATTCTGACATATCTTCTGGCATTCTATCTGGCATTCTATTTGGCATTCTATCTGGCATATCTTCTGGCATATCTTCTGACATTCTTTCTGACATTCTTTCTAACTTTCTTCTGCGCATTCTTTGTCCCATATCTTCCTACATGAGGTCCGGCAGGGAACACTTGGCGTGGATACTCGCGGTTGAGGTCCGGCAGGGAACACTGGGCGTGGATGGTCGTGGTTGAGGTCCGGCAGGGAACACTGGGCGGGGATGGTCGTGGTTGAGGTCCGGCAGGGAACACTGGGCGGGGATGGTCGTGGTTGAGGTCCGGCAGGGAACACTGAGCGTGGATGGTCGTGGTTGAGGTCCGGCAGGGCACACTGGGCGTGGATGGTCGTGGTTGAGGTCCGGCAGGGAACACTGGGCGTGGATGGTCGTGGTTGAGGTCCGACAGAGAACACTGTGGATCGCGAGTCGCAGTTGAGCAGGAGGACGAGGAGGACAACGAGAGGAGGAGGAGGAGGAGGACGAGGAGGAGGAGGACCAGGCAACTGACATAAAATCTAACAACCCTCACCTGGCAGGTGGGGAATAAGCTTCGGTGGTATCCCCAACAGCCGCAACGTTTTATTTTAACAAATCTTTCTGAAGCATCTGCCAAGCCAAGTGCTGGACACACCTCAGCTGGGGTTCCGTGAGTTAAATGGCCGCAAATCCTGTTGAACCTGACCCGGCTCTGCACCGAAGCCTCCCAGACCAGACCTTCTCCGGAACCTTCTTCGGAATCCTGTTGAGCCTGAAATCTCCCAGACCTTCACCGGAACCTTCACCGGAACCTTCTCCGGAACCCTGTTGAACCTGACCTGCCTTTGCACCGAAGCCTCCCAGACTTTCTCCGGAACCTTCTCCGGAACTCTGTTGCACCTCACCTGGCTCTGCACCAAAGCCTCCCCATCCTTCTCCGGAACCTTCTCCGGAAACTTCTTCGGAACCCTGTTGAACTTGACTTGGCTTTGCACCAAGGCTTCCTAGAACCTTCTCCGGAACCTTCTCCGGAAGCCTGTTGAGCCCGACCTGGCTCAACACCAAAGCCTCCCAGACCTTCTCCAGAACCTCTCCGGAACCTTCTTCGGAACCCTGTTGAACGTGACCTGGCTCTGCACCAAAGCCTCCCAAACCTTCTCCGGAACCTTCGGAACCTTCTCCGGAACCTCGTTGAACCTGACCCGGCTCCTGCACCAGTGCACACCGGAGCTATTCTGGGCTGAAGACCCCATTAGCTTACACTGTTGGGGAAAAAGGTTGGCAGGGCTGGGAGCACAACACAGGACCATGGGACCACGGGACCAGATCTGCTGAAGGAGCTTCTGTGTAACGACAAGATGCAACAAGAACACGTTCACAGAAGGTGAAGTAAGAAGTTGGCTCCAATCTGAGCCATACAATCCAGCCCTGGCCTTCGAGCGTAGAAATGGAAGAAGCATGCGGAGCTTGTCGGAGTGCGAGAGGCGACTCATGACCATACGTTGTGCTTTGTCGAGGCCCGAGACCTTTTTGTGCTCGGCGTGGCAGAAATCGCAGCTGGCACCTTTCAAACACTCCTTGTTCTGAAAAAGAAAGACAAGGCCGACGACACAGCTCTGGATGGCCATAACTTCCTTTGCTGGTTCCAAGGTGCTTCAGTATCTTCAGCAATGGTAACCAAGCAAAGTGATAGATACGGACGAAGGCTTGGTGTGCAGAAACACTTCTTTATGAATGTTATCGAATGACGGCTTGAGGCCCTAAGCAGGCATGCCTCAAATGGAAGCCATCCTTTGGTATCCTGCTCCTAAATCTAACCCTCAACTTGTGAATAGCGCTTCAAACAGCTTGCCGAAAACACAGCTCAACTTTCTGCCCAAAAGCGTACACCGTTCATGGGGCTGAAACCGCAAACGGGGAACCCCATCAAGAAAAGAATTCTTAAAATTCACTATTCCAAAATTTCCAAACTCCAAACTCATTGTCACATATTGTCACATATTGTCACATTGTTATTTTCAGCCACGCTTCCAAGCGATGGCGCCCAAAGCTCTGTCGGTCTGGAGCTCGGAGACGTCGGAGATGAACTCGGGATCGACGCCTGGTGTCATGGTGCAGACTGCAGGAAATGCTTATCCAATTTATAGCAATTTTCAAAAAATCAAAAGATGTTCAAAGGGTAGTTTTGACGTGGCGTTCAACCACACCTACCAAGACTCTTTACTGAACGGATTCTTCATGTTGCGCATGTGACTAATGTCCAACCTGAAATGCTCACAACGACCAATGTTTTCCCTACTGCACAGGAAGCCAGGGTCCTACCGTATACTACCTCTAGCAGGATCGCACAGCAGACTGGAATGCAGAAATGCAGCTGTCCTTCGCCTTGTTTTCATTGAGAACTTTACTTTCCAGTTCCCTGACGCTGAGATGACGTTTGGCTTCCTCCTCCATGAGGTCGGACAGGTTGGAGGTCTCCGGCATCTTGCTGGATATGGGCGGACAGGACCTCGGATCCAAAAGGATCCAAAAGGCACGAAGGACGCAAGTCGTCAATGTGTCGCAATAGGCTTTGGGTTAGACGGTTAGACATGTTAGACTGAATATCCACAATTCAAGAATTGACTCCACAAAAGGAACAAAACAATACAAAACAAACCTTGGTCCTAAAAGTTGACTTCATGTTGGCTCCGTAAGTAATCCGAAACAAAATGGAAAAAACGTCTGCTAGTCAGAACTGAAGGGAACTTCACTCGTCTTTCAGCACTTCGGCCCTGATGGTCCTCGATCTCCACGTCAATGAAGGTGAAGCGGTATCGAAGGCGCATTGCGTCGGGCGCGGGAGTGGGAAAACGAGGGAAAAAATCAACCGGGTGGCGACACTGAGCCAAAGGTTAAACATTGACAGTCCTGACTGCAACCTGGGTAAACTATGGTAAAGTCATATCACGGATCATCATGTGCATCATGGTTCAGAAGATTTCAAAAATCCCACGTCGAGGGACGCTTGAGATGAATTGTCCAAAGTTTGTGTCCGAGACTTCCAAAATCAGCAGCCCAACAATTGGCCTTCTCCAGGAAGATCTGCAGAAGTTCTCAGCAATGTCAGCCTGATACAATGCACTGGGCATGATCCGTGCGAATGGGTTGTCAGATCTGTCAGAAGTAATTCAGTTAAATGCTGTGGTCCAATCTCAGTAGTGAAAATCTGACCCTCAGAGTCACTGATCCTGGACCCTTGTCCTCACAAACGAGATAAGCAGCTTCTACTGAGATCGTGCCATGTTATCATGCAATGTTCCTCTTCCTTGAAGGAAACACTCGTGTTTGGCTCTCCAAACTAAAGGTTGGACAAACCTACACCAGCCTTCACTGCAGCGTCTGAAATGCCAAAGCTCAGGCTGTTGAGGCCTAAAATGTTTGGATGTATGACGGTGTGTCCAAAAACTGACCCCAAAACGGGTGATTACTAGTTGAATACACTACAAAACAGTTTTCCCCATGATTGGACGGCATCAATTGAGGAGATGTGACAAACCGACAATCATACCCCTGCAGCCTTGCCAGCAAGAAGCTCTGCGCCGTTGCAATGCTGATATTTGTTCAACTAGCTTAGTGGGGTGCCCGCAACGTCGAGGCCATCCCGCTTCAAAAAAACTCTTTCGAGGCCATCCGTCAAACACATCCCAAGCATTCCCAAGCTGCCATGTTTCAGCACGCATTGCAAAGAGCTGAGATGCTACCTGCCATTGGCTTCCCTGCTTCACCGTAGCCACGGTGGCATTGAAGCTAATGGCATCTGGAGTCAACTCTGCTAATGGCATGATGCTGAACAAGTGCAGGGCATGTTGCCATTGCTCACCTCACGGATGTTTTATGACTGAGCTACCCCCTTTCATCCCCTTTACTTTGTCACAGAATTCTTGGGAACAAAAACAAAATAACCATTTGCGCTTAGCTATATATTCTACCACACCTTTCTGACAGGAGATGATGGCCGCACTGAAGCTGTAGTTGTTGGGATCCACCACGGCGAATTTCATGCTGTGGAAGAGGTCCAATGCTAGCGGCCATTGACTCCCCTTCTCACAAGCACTGATCAAAGCACTGTAGCTGATCACATCACAATCTATGGACGCAGCCATGTTTGCACGATAGAAAAAATGCAAGGCCCGTTGCCACTGTCCTGGCGGAGCCGGAAACTCCCCGGTTGAAAGGGATCAAATGTATTGACATGTTTCAATCGACTGCGCGTCTGAAGCTTAAAATGGAACCACTGGTTGTGTTGAACTTGAAGCCTTAGAAGCCTTAGAAGACCATAGAAAACCCACATGAAACAACCAATGAATGAAACAAGCAATAAAGACCGCGGATCTCAAATTCCACAGCTAAGGTCCTGCCCTCTCGCAGGAACTGATCGCAGCGCTAAAGCAAACAGCATCAGCCTGGACCTGACTGTGAAATATGACGAGTCAACAATTTGAAATACCTGACAGTGTGGGATTCAACTGTCAAACTATGTCAAAGTATCGACTCACTCTGGGTTTGTGACTCTTGGTTACTCGATACTTGTTTGCACAAAAGACATGTGTATCACGACTTGCGAACTTCCCAACCAGGAAAGCTTCTTAGCATGGCAGAAGTACCATTAGCAGCAGTGAGAGCAGTATCTGGGGGAACAGCATGTGCTGCACACGTGCATGAGAGAGAGAGAGAGAGAGGGAGCATGTCTAAGCATGTCTAAGCATGTCTATCATGTTCGTAACATTCTTTTGTGTTGTGCCGTTGGGTTAGTCGTTCTTGCTCTGAATCCCTTGTTTGCTACTCTGGCCATACGTGCTTACATTGATTGATTTGTTGATGGGGAAGACTGTTTGATTGTGACTTTTCGTTGCTGTTTTGCATTTTGAAGTTTTGCTTAACTCAACAATTGAACTATTGCATCAAGAATGTCAAACACAAGAGCAAATCCTCAAACAGTCTGAAAATCCTGCACTGTGCCTACCTTTTTCTCCAACATCATCTCGAAGATCCTCAAGGACTGCTGCCATTCTGCTGCCCTCCCGCACGCACTCATGACAGCAACCAAGGTAATATTATCAGGAGACACCTGCGGCAATGGAACTGATCTGTTTGAAAATGAAGCCATCAGGTCGAAGGCGAAAAAGAAGAGGGTGGTCAAAAAAGCTACAGTAGGCTCAGAGTTCTACAGGGTCCTAAAATTAGTTGGGTTTCTCTGCTTGTATGGTGCCCAAATTGTGATTGGTAGAAGCTGCCATCTAAACTGCAACATACCCCCCGCAACGCGAAATATCTGGAACAATTCGCAAAAATGCATCAAATCCTCTCAAAATGTTTCCATGGTCACATAAAAATCCAACACTCTTCCGACGTCTGCCCATTGACAATGCGCCTTGGCCTGAGCCATTGCTTGAAATATTTGCAGGACCCGCTGCCACTGTGAAACTCTTCCACAAGCACTGACCGCCTAAGACGTGCAAACACCAAACTTTTGTTGTTCTCGATAATGTGCGCAAGTCCTTTCAAACTATCTTCCACAAGTTTCCAGTTGTGCGTCCTCTCCTTCTCATAGGTGCTGCCCAAAACAGAACGTGTATGTTACTGTTCGTTGAGTGTTGCATTCACTCTATTGTTCTAGTTGTTCTCGATCGAAATCATTCCGTCTGAGGGGCCGTATTGAAGCTCACTGAGGTGGGCTGCAAGAAAGCCTTGGTTTTGCTGATGGTCGCACACATTACACGTCGTCACGAATTGTGTGGCTGGGCCAGGCTGGGCCCTCGGAGGGAATCGTGTTCAAGAGTCCTAGCTTTGACACAGAACTTAAGCCCGAAAAATCCAACAAATATATCAAACTAAACGCAAGTGGTTCGGAAGTTTGACGAGACATACTGATTCTTGATATTTTTTGTTATTGTGTTGCGACTTTGAGAGTCGCTTGATCGCTCTCTGACTAAGTATATTGATTTAGCAAAAAGCAGTAAGTCACAGCTTCAATTGTTCTAGTACTGATACCGTCCACCAATGCTGAGCAATTGTTCCTCTGTGCACCAGGAGTGAATTGGAAAGACGGACCTCCGGAACAGCCAGTTGCCCACTGAGAAATTCCCCCTCTCCCCCTTAAAACCACATACTGCAGGGATGCGGAAGAGTTTCAATTGCACTTGGACAACTTAGTCAAACAGTTCCACGGAAATGCAGCAAGCCAGCAAGTACGTGATCAAGTCAAGGGAGAAAAGCTACATTGAACATCATTGAACCATATTGACAGGTAACTTGCCGCATGTCTTCAAACAGCCACAATGCGCGTGGCCATTGCGTGGCCTTTTCGCAGGAACTCATGGCCGCGTTGAAGGTGATTCCGTCTCGCTGCACGGAACTGGCTGTCATGGCGGTCAAGGTATGGAGTGACCTGAAAGACAACTGAAAGACAACCAGTCAACCAGCTATTGGAACAACTCTCTCCAGATATCAAAACAGGATTGATTAGCTCTGACAAGTTCCGCGTATTTCGAGCAAATGACCCACTGACATGTCAGTGGTGACCATCGAAATGCACCAGTCATGTCTTCTGAGTGTGGCGGGAGAAACACGAGTAGACTATCTATCTCTGAGTGATCCTGTGATAGTTTGCAGCTTTATCATAGCTTTATCAAATGCTGATCTACCCATTAATGCACCGCCTACTTGAAAACGGCCAAGCCTTTGCCATTGTCCTGCTTTCTCATAAGAGCTGATCGTGGCATTGAAGCTAGTGGTGTTTGGACGCACCTCCAATTCCGGCATGGCTTGAAGTAGGGCCAAAGAACCCTGCCATTGTGCACACTTCTCCAATGAGCCTCAAGGGGCTGGTCACGGAAAAGTACGAGAAGGGGCCAAACAGAGAATGCGAGAGTTATGATAGTCTTGGAGTCTTCCCTGTTTTCTTGGATAAGACGACAACACAAAAGGAAACGAATTTGTAGAACACTCGACTGCTCCGTTGAGGAGCTAATCAATGCATTGAAACTGATGGCATCAGGAGCGATCCTCAACTGACACAGACACATCATATCAAAGATCTGTATCGCCCATTGCCACTGTGCGCCCTTTTCGCAAGAGCTGATGGCTGCGTTGAAGGTCAAAAGATCGGGAACACATGGCACTGTCGAAGCGGCAGCCGTGGCAGCCGTGGCAGGTTCATCATTGTTTGGATCAGCCATGCCCAGCAGAGTTAGCACAGCGAGTTGCCACTGTCCAGCCTTCTCCAGACAAGAAATGAGCGAGTTGAAGCTAACCAAACTTGGGCAAAGTCTAGCTGTGGGAATCTCCTGAAAAAGTTGCACTGCATCCTGCCACCGGGCAGCTTTCTCAAACCTCAAATTGCAGATGCCAATGCCCAAAAATGTGGATATATGCGAATGCTGAAATCTCTTCTGTCTATTGTATTCTTTGTGGCATTTGGAGACAGGCAGAGCTAAAATCCTCAGAAACAAAACAACATGGCCAAAATTTGAACTGGAGGTCGTTCAGTTGCAGCCCCAGCCGACTGATACGTAGTCTTTTCATTATATCCGAATTTACCGGCATCCAAGTACCCTCCTAGTGTAACAGTGTTTAAGATTGTGAAATTACGAAATGGGTCACCAGCAAGGTGTCGAGATGTGTCGAGATGTCGAGAAACGATGTGATGGTTGCGTTGTAACTGATGACATCTCTGGACGCCTTCACTGTGGGCATGGCATGAAACAAATGCAATGCCCAAGGCCACTGTGATGCGCTGCTGCAGCTGCTGATGGTTGCATTGAAGTTGATGGTGTTTGGAGTCACGTTTCTCTGCGGCATGGTGTGAAACAAGTCCAGGGCTTGTTGCCATAGCCTGAGACAGTTTCGAAGTGTCCAATGCCATGGGCTGCAGAAGTTGATGCCAAAAGCTTGAAAAATCTGAATATCAAACTTCCAACTTATCCAATTAGAACTTCTGCCTGTCCTAAACTCTTGTTCTGCCAACATCCATCGCCTTGACCTTTGGCATGCTGAAATAAGCAGGGTATTCTGTGGTGCAGTGAGGCTCCATTCGTGGCTCTGGACGACCTGGGTGCTTGGGATTTGCTTCCGGTGAAGAAAGTCGTGTCAATCGCATGCTCTAAATCATTCTAAATCCATCTACTGTAACTGTAACTCTATAATATATATATATAATAATAATAATAATTAATAATAATAATAATACATCAATCTATATCATATTATTTAGTTCCCATCTTTCAAATATTCCTGAAATTTGGAACGCGATGAAAACTTGACTCTTTCAGAATCTTTCCCTGTCTTTCCCTCCAGCCTCCACAAAGAAGATCACATCTTCGCGGGCTCTCCGCTCTCCAAGGCTTTTCAGGATTTGCGTCAACAACTTGGGATCGCTGGGCAGTTGGGAGAAGACTTGCCGAACCAGTGCGGAGCGCGTCGAACGCGTCGAACGCGTCGAACGCGTCAAACGAAAAGCTTTTGCAAATGATTCCTGACGGCACAAGTCTCGTCTATCCAGTCCACTGCTTGAGCTATGAAACAAACTTGGAGCAAGACATCTGATAGACTTGGTCCTCTTTACTCTGGTTTCGTGCCCAAAAATGCAGCAAATGCAGAAAATCTCAAGAATTGCTCCAATGAACCTCACCAGCTTGACAGCACAAAGTCTAGTCCAAGCCACTCCTGGCGAGATCCAAGCACCATGAACGCTCATGGCGAGATGGCATCGTCGGAGCATTCGGACAGTGTGGTGGAGCTTTGAAGCACTGCTTGAGCCAAACCGCGGACGGAATCCAAATACTGTCGAAGCTGTCGAAGCTCCGACCTGCAAAAGCATATGGAACCAATTGGAACCAAATTCAAAGAAACAGCGTAACAGCGCAAAAGAATTTGTGCTATACCAGTACACCACACGAGTAAAAAAACATGTGCAGCCTAGTAATGTGAATCTAAGCGATGCAGCCCAGTATGGGATGACCTCACTTCCAGAGCTCAGGGCTGATGCAAAGGAAATTTGCTGCAGTCCCACTGTCACTTGCGCAAGACGGGTACAAAAACGTAGTGCCCTTGCTAGCTGAAACTCAGCTCTTATCTCTCGAGCTATCATATTCACTCTTGGCCCATCCCCTCTAGCCTCCAGAGCATAGACAGAAGACATCTCTGAGTCCGTCCTGTACATGCAGACATTCAGGTTTTACTTGGGGATTGGCATGAGTGGTTTTTGCAATCTAGTCGAGTAATGTCGAGTACTGGTCCTTGTTGTACCAAGCAAAGATCGCAACCAGCTAAGCAACCCTTCTACATCACGCATGCAGTTCCCTGAGTCGCTTGGCAAAGCAATATTTTCGCGGTCCCTTTTTCAACCACGGCTCTAGGCGCCACTGCAACAACCTTGCTGAAGCGAAAACTTTGGCCTGTCGATGGGCATCATGTGCTGACATGATTATTCTTCCGATCAATAAAAGCGCATTAGAATCAACGTGTGCATTCCCGTCTGCCAATGCAGAACCTTTGACTAAGAGCGCCGGCAAGTCAAGCACCTGGAGTTGAGGGATTACAAGGTATCACAAGTAGATCAAACTAATACCATGGACACGCTGTTCTCATCAACACCAGGTCCACCAACATCAGCACATCCACCAATTGATGGATCCTCTGAAGCAAAGGCAGCCTCCAAAGCTTTTGCGCTCCTGCGAAAGCCTTTGTGTTCGAGCACATCAGCCTTGCAGTAGTTCAAGAAGCCGTGGTCTTTCAACAAGCAAGCCTGGTGAATTGTCTTCACGCGCTGCTTCACAGACCAAGTACAGCCAGTGGCCCAAGCTTCCTTGCTGGGTCTTTCGCCAGGTGAACACCGACCACCTTTTGGCAGCCCATACCAAAAGCCAAGAGGGCTCTCTGCTGCACACCTCAGCTCACCATCGCCAGCAGAAAATGGAGCTCCTCTGCCCACCAAACGTGGCTCACCAGCGATGCATGAAGGGCCACTTGGGATTGTGTCTGGGTAGCCATTGCATGGACAGTACTGTCCAAATGCGGGAGAAACTTCCAAGGCATAACGTGAGATCAGGGTGTAGTTGTGATCAACTTTGGACTCCCGGAAGAGTCGATCAAAGCAAATGAATGCTGCATCTCCGGCAACATCCGCAACGTTTTGGTCCTCGAGGTTGTAGTCGTCAGCCGACATACCTGGATGGAAAATATATGCATCTAATGGAACTGGCTCCAGCCCGCTCCCATTTTCACAAGGAGGAGCCGATGTATCACAAATTTCAGGTTTCTGCAACAGATCCTCTGATACCTGACTTCCTTTGGTTAAGTGTCCAAACTGGTAGCTGAAGTTGAAACTTATTCCACCTCCACTGTTGTTCTTGGGAAGGGTGACGTTCAATTCAACTGGAGCGTTGCCCTCTGCACACAAGCTGATTCTTGTCTGAGTCGTTGACAGCAAGTACCACAAGGAGCAAACTCTCCCAGCCACCACACGCTTCCCCCTGTACTCCGAGATCAGAGGGTTCGCTGCCCAAGCAAAGAAATCATCAAATTGTTGTTGGCCAAAGAAGGCTACTTGCCGGCAAATTGCATGATCGCCGCCATTCATGTTGTATGATTTATTTCCCCGAATCAATGTAGTCACATTGCTCGGCAGGTCCATACCAAGAGTATGTCGTATGGTCTCTACTCTCATGGCTTTTTCGTCTGCATCTTGTGCAAAGAACCCTTTACCAGTCTGAAGGAAGCCTGTGTCAAAAGTCGTGTAGTTAATGGGCGCGGAAAAGCGGGCGGGAACAGTTGGTCGTGCAGGTTCGTCATCAAGTTTCAAGTCCTTTGAAACTCTAACAATGCCAACAGCTTCTTCATATGCTGGGCCATTTTTTGGAAAAAGGTCCGGATGTGCCTGCGTTTGCAAGAGGTAGAGGGGCCCACATCTGCACAACCATAGCCAAAAGCGCATGACTGCGAAGAAAGCGAGCCGCCTCGCAAGACATAAAATGTCACTCTTGAGCCAAACCAATACCGTTGAAGGCCAGGCCACGAACTAATACAATAGGCGCTCAACCGTTCAAAGCTCAGACCGGTGTTTCTTTTTACATCCACCGGCCCACTGGCCCAGACTCCTTGGCTGCCAAGAACTCAACCCATGGGGCTCCATCCTGCAGCATGTGCACTAGACTTGACCCTGGAGCAAGAACCAAATCCAGGTGATAGTGGGCCCCATTCAAGCCAAGAAGGCAATGACTGCAGGAAGCAGCAAGAGTCGCAACCAAAAAAAACTTGCGGTCCTGCCATGCACCTCACATTCCACATGGCTCGCCAAGGTGACTCAATGCCGCATGCACTGGACGGAACCCGCATTAACACACATGTCTGCGGACATTCATTTTTCCATGACACCCTGAAGTGGTCATCAAAATCATAGTGGTTTCTCTCCAAAAAATGGAGCTGAAAGCGATTCTGGAATTCTCTACGAATCCTCTTGAGACAGATTGATAGACACAAACTGAAACTGTCAACCAACACGTTTGATGATTAGGTTGCACAGGCCTCCCCTGCTGGGTCAACCTTCAGCCATCGCAGATTCACAGCCGTCTGCTAGAACCCTCCAATAGTGGAGCACGACAATGACCTAGTCCCCAGCAAGCACCTTAGCCCATCGTCTTGCTGTCATACATCGGGGAACCCCAAATGCGTTGGCCTCAAGGACGCGGTCGAACCCAAGCGTCTGCACCCGGCCAACGGTGCAAGAACTCACAGGCCAACTGGGTTTGCCTGCAAGTTGTAGGGTTGACGCACTGGCGGACAAACAATTCCCAAGGGGCAAAATCATGCAAGACAAATCAATGCGATTTTTCCAGCTCTTTGTGCTATCAACATCGACAGACGCAAAACCAGAATTTCTCGCATCCAGCGTCAGGGCGAACAACGAACCTCCCATGCATCGTCACTTTCTATTGTTGTTTTGCCTACGCACACGCTAATGTATATGTTTACGAATGTATACAATGGCATGTACAATATGTCTGTTTATACATATTAATTACATGTACATACAACGAGAGAGGGTGCCTCATTGCGTTTTGTACTTTATACAGCGGTATGTTGCTTCACAAATATGTACATACATGGAGTTTGCAGTTCAATCCAAAAAGACAGCCCTGGACTGCAGCCCAATCCACCAGGGGCCACCTCACCAAACAAAACATGTTATATATATACATACATATATTGTATAACAGCAGTCGATCAAAGGTCCATACAGTAGATTCCTGACGCACAATCAACGGTAGTCCCAGGTATGAGCTTTGGTCTTCAAGATAAGAGCTTTTGGGATAAACCTCAGGTACTGCTTCAAGTTTGCAGTTGTGGCCTTCAACAGGACCATTGAAGGGATGCAATAAGCAGCGCTTACAAGGCCTCCCCTTTCTGACTGCCAACCTTCGCCGTAGCCGCTAGGTCACCCCGTCTATGGGACACACCCGTCAAGGAGTGGCGGCTGTGGCTAAGTCCCCAGCAAGCGCGTTAGCCCATTCGCCTTGCTGTCATACATCACAGATGCGTTGGCCCCAAGGACAATTTGGCAACCGAGCGTCTGCACCCGGCCAGCGGTGCATCCATCACCAGAGCCACACGGGCACTGAAGCAATGGTGGGTGGACGCTAAAGTTCGAGACAACCTTCAGGAAGCAGCTCTCAAGCGGCAAGCAATTCAAGCAAATTCTGCTGGATTTTGCAGTACAAGCATGACACTCTACAATGTAAAGACCGCATGCAGGCAATGGTCCAGTTCAGGCCTGGCAAAGGATGGAGAAACAAGGCCGGATTAGGAATCCCCAGTCCCTTCAAAAGCGAAGGGGGACGGTATCAACCGCCTTTTGTAGACAGTTGTGTCCCTGTGGCTGCACTGGCTTTCGGTTGCTTTGTGTGCTTTCTTGAGATCAAGAACTCTAGTGGCGATCCTGGAATTCTCTACGAATCGTCTTGAGACAGATTGATAGACACAAACTGAAACTGTCAACCAACACGTTTGATGATTAGGTTGCACAGGCCTCCCCTGCTGGGTCAACCTTCAGCCATCGCAGATTCACAGCCGTCTGCTAGAACCCTCCAATAGTGGAGCACGACAATGACCTAGTCCCCAGCAAGCACCTTAGCCCATCGTCTTGCTGTCATACATCGGGGAACCCCAATGCGTTGGCCTCAAGGACGCGGTCGAACCCAAGCGTCTGCACCCGGCCAACGGTGCAAGAACTCACAGGCCAACTGGGTTTGCCTGCAAGTTGTAGGGTTGACGCACTGGCGGACAAACAATTCCCAAGGGGCAAAGTCATGCAAAACAAATCAATGCGATCGTTCCAGCTCTTTGTGCTATCAACATCGACAGACGCAAAACCAGAATTTCTCGCATCCAGCGTCAGGGCGAACAACGAACCTCCCATGCATCGTCACTTTCTATTGTTGTTTTGCCTACGCACAAGCTAATGTATATGTTTACGAATGTGTACAATGGCATGTACAATATGTCTGTTTATACGTATTAATTACATGTACATACAACGAGAGAGGGTGCCTCATTGCGTTTTGTACTTTATACAGCGGTATGTTGCTTCACAAATATGTACATACATGGAGTTTGCAGTTCAATCCAAAAAGACAGCCCTGGACTGCAGCCCAATCCACCAGGGGCCACCTCACCAAACAAAACATGTTATATATATATACATACATATATTATATAACAGCAGTCGATCAAAGGTCCATACAGTAGATTCCTGACGCACAATCAACGGTAGTCGCAGGTATGAGCTTTGGTCTTCAAGATAAGAGCTTTTGGGATAAACCTCAGGTACTGCCTCAAGTTTGCAGTTGTGGCCTTCAACAGGACCATTGAAGGGATGCAATAAGCAGCGCTTACAAGGCCTCCCCTTTCTGACTGCCAACCTTCGCCGTAGCCGCTAGGTCACCCCGTCTATGGGACACACCCGTCAAGGAGTGGCGGCTGTGGCTAAGTCCCCAGCAAGCGCGTTAGCCCATTCGCCTTGCTGTCATACATCACAGATGCGTTGGCCCCAAGGACGATTTGGCAACCGAGCGTCTGCACCCGGCCAGCGGTGCATCCATCACCAGAGCCACACGGGCACTGAAGCACTGGTGGGTGGACGCTAAAGTTCGAGACAACCTTCAGGAAGCAGCTCTCAAGCGGCAAGCAATTCAAGCAAATTCTGCTGGATTTTGCAGTACAAGCATGACACTCTACAATATAAAGACCGCATGCAGGCAATGGTCCAGTTCAGGCCTGGCAAAGGATGGAGAAACAAGGCCGGATTAGGAATCCCCAGTCCCTTCAAAAGCGAAGGGGGACGGTATCAACCGCCTTTTGTAGACAGTTGTGTCCCTGTGGCTGCACTGGCTTTCGGTTGCTTTGTGTGCTTTCTTGAGATCAAGAACTCTAGTGGCGATCCTGGAATTCTCTACGAATCGTCTTGAGACAGATTGATAGACACAAACTGAAACTGTCAACCAACACGTTTGATGATTAGGTTGCACAGGCCTCCCCTGCTGGGTCAACCTTCAGCCATCGCAGATTCACAGCCGTCTGCTAGAAACCTCCAATAGTGGAGCACGACAATGACCTAGTCCCCAGCAAGCACCTTAGCCCATCGTCTTGCTGTCATACATCGGGGAACCCCAATGCGTTGGCCTCAAGGACGCGGTCGAACCCAAGCGTCTGCACCCGGCCAACGGTGCAAGAACTCACAGGCCAACTGGGTTTGCCTGCAAGTTGTAGGGTTGACGCACTGGCGGACAAACAATTCCCAAGGGGCAAAGTCATGCAAAACAAATCAATGCGATCGTTCCAGCTCTTTGTGCTATCAACATCGACAGACGCAAAACCAGAATTTCTCGCATCCAGCGTCAGGGCGAACAACGAACCTCCCATGCATCGTCACTTTCTATTGTTGTTTTGCCTACGCACAAGCTAATGTATATGTTTACGAATGTGTACAATGGCATGTACAATATGTCTGTTTATACGTATTAATTACATGTACATACAACGAGAGAGGGTGCCTCATTGCATTTTGTACTTTATACAGCCGTATGTTGCTTCACAAATATGTACATACATGGAGTTTGCAGTTCAATCCAAAAAAACAGCCCTGGATTGCAGCCCAATCCACCAGGGGCCACCTCACCAAACAAAACATGTTATATATATATATACATATATTATATAACAGCAGTCGATCAAAGGTCCATACAGTAGATTCCTGACGCACAATCAACGGTAGTCCCAGGTATGAGCTTTGGTCTTCAAGATAAGAGCTTTTGGGATAAACCTCAGGTACTGCTTCAAGTTTGCAGTTGTGGCCTTCAACAGGACCATTGAAGGGATGCAATAAGCAGCGCTTACAAGGCCTCCCCTTTCTGACTGCCAACCTTCGCCGTAGCCGCCAGGTCACCCCGTCTATGGGACACCCGTCAAGGAGTGGTGGCTGTGCCTAAGTCCCCTGGCAGCCATTGGCTAGGATGCTGCGACAAAGATTTCACTTTTTTTCATTGCTGCAGGTCTGCATTGCAACTAACGCTATCTGCATTTGACAATGGTAATGGCTCTTCAGATCGTCAATCTACAGCAGGCCTGCACTTCAGGCCCAAGCATAAAGGCTGGCAAGAAGGAAAAGTGGCTGAAAGACGCTCCCATTGAGCGTTCAAAACCAGATCGAATCTGCTTCTGAGGGTGATCATTAAGTTTTTAGTTCGTTTGGTTTTCAACTTTCATCTGTACCATGGATGAACCAGATGCTAGGTTCAGCAGTGCGATCAGAACATCCAAAATTCGAAGATACGGAAGGCAAAATTGGACCTTGAGGGAAACTGCAGGGATTTGCATGGCAAGCCTCCCACAATATCCCCTGCTAAATCACAATATAACATTCTTGCGACGAACAACAATTCTCTGAGAGTCCCACTGCCAAAACCGAACCCCG